CGCAAATATTGAAATTCATGACCAATGCCACCATTCAAAATGCCTTGCCGTATTAATTTAAATCAGTTAACGTAACACATGGTATATAAAAGATATATCACAATAATCTGCAGACATGAAATGCCTGGTAATATAGCCAGGTTGTAGATAGCAGTTATTCCATTGTTTATTGTATGGAAATTCCCTCATACTCTTAGATAAGCTTCTATTACTTGTTTTTATTTTCTAAGTATTCGAAATTTCATAAAAGATAATATAATAATTTCGAATGTATTCGAAATAGTGAACTATTCGGTATTGGCCATCCCTGGATTCATTGAATTCGTTTTCAATCCGAAGTTTCATGTGACGAAATCAACAAAATTAGAAATGACGCACGATGTGGCAGTTTCGCGATCTAGTGGTCGGAAAAGTCTGGAGATTTTGGATATGAAAGACTACTGGGCACCGGTAACATTTTAAGCTACAGTTGTGCATGAATAATTTGGTATTTCGATTCACGTTGAGACTGCACACATGAATCTTTATCGTCACACTCGACCAGGATATATCAAAACCATATCCGGTTACATCAGTTGATAAAAATCTAGGCAGCTTGGACTATTTCTGTACTATAGTATAAACATATAAAATATTCTAGTTCGATACCGGTACTGTATACAGTGCCGAGCACGTCAAAGGTCTAATAGTGAATTGACCTATTTACCGATAACTGCAGTAAAATTTACGTATTCTTTTGCATTTAAATATAATTACAATTTTTGTTTCGTCTCCTTTTTCATGTAGTTTGCCATTGCTCATTTGTACAAAATTGTAAGAATTGTAATCCGCGCCCTAGTCAAATAAAATTAGTCATAACATCAGTGCGCGGCGGTGTGGCTCATCGTGCTAAGCGTTAGGAATACGCTCGCCACCGCATCTCTGATTACCTTGCTTGGGTTCGCAGGTTCGAACCCCATGCGGGGTAGTTATGTGCGAGAGGATTGCTGGACTTCTCGCCGTCGTAGGGTGGTTCACGTAACCGCTGGTCGGTTGTGGCTTCCTCCACCATCAAGTCCATGCTTCTGAAAAACAAATAACTAAAACTAATCCCATACCCGACATGGACTGGTAACCGCACGAGAGGCCGTTGTTCGCCATAGGGGTGGGCCGTCTTATCGGCTTTCCTCTCCCCCGGGATAAATATGTAAATCCTATCCTATAAGAATATTCTGCCCTTTCCCTATCTTTTCTTTCCCCCGTGATAAGTAGGGAAATTACAAGAGAGCTATGCTCAAATATATGGGCACGTGAACGATTGTTATTTTCACTAACGTGTCCAATAAATACTATAATCGCACACAGCAAGCAATTCATGCCATTCGCAAGAGATATACATTTCTCAATTCCTCCGTCATCATTACGAGAGCCTATTTCGCCATTGTGTGTAAAAGTTTGAGGAACTATAGTGCCATCATTGGTTTGACCTAGGATATTTACGTAATGTACAGTTACGGTACCGTACGTACCAGTACCGGTACTGTAATTGACGGCAAGTTTCATTTACAGTTACTTTGACCGGTACCGTATTTGTTCAAAAATAATCTTTGTCAGTCAGTAGTTTCTTTTTTCACATGCCGAAAGTACCGGTACCGGTACAGAAATAAGAAAAACATTCCATATCAGAATCTTTGAATGACAGAATGAGCTGTATTTGAGTGGAAGTGGTGACTCCTCTCCGGCCCATGGGCCGGGGCCACGGCCCATCAAATTGGGCCTCGGCCCATCAGGCTATGGGCCGGGGCCCATCAAGTTGTGTAAAGAAACTATTCACTTGGCTAACACAAACAGTCCCCAAACTCATAATAGAACTATAATGTAAAAAATCTGAACAAAATTTTGCCCTAACCCTAACCTGGTACACATACTACAGGAGTTTATTTTTTTGGTTCGAATATTGACAATTTTGTAAAAATTGAAAATTTTGGTAAGATAATTGAATTTTTCCTGACGGGGCCGCGGCCCATAGCTTGATGGGCCACGGCCCATGTGGCCCAATTAAATGGGCCGTGGCCCCGGCCCATGGGTCGTAGAGGAGTCACCACCCCTGTAGGGTATATAACTAGTGAAAGCAACCATTTTTTTGTCTAATTGCGAGTGAGACTACAGTCAATGGAATGTGCCTCAGGGTTTCAGTGAGACACAATTCTCTGATTCCAAGAATAGCCCCCACATTAAAAGACTCCGTTATAGCAGTGAGTGCAAATCCATCTATTATGAGACAGTCTGGTCCTCCATGTTGGCTCAAACCGACATTGTGCAAAAAACTAAAACTGTAAAAGAAAACGTCGCCATTTGATTACTCAAAAAAAGAATCTGGTTTACTAAAAGAAAAAAAATTTCCTCGATAGATTTTAGCGAAAAAAAGGCACTTTTGTTGAAGTGTAGGTCAATGCACATTGTGATTGATTCAAATTATTATGGAGACAAGTATGGTGCGATCTGCTGTTGTGCCAGATGCCCTCGTTTCAGAGTCAAATAGAGTGTTTATTTTATTAAACCAAATGTAGGGACATCTTGGAATCCGAAAACTGTAACGGTACCCTAGGGCAGGGCTACTCAACTATTTTTATTGAAGGTCCGCAAACAAAACTTCAAAATTATTTGGGTCCGGTCTTTCCAGAAATGATATTTCGGCATCCTCAAACGAGCACTTCCTCGACCGACTAATGATTAGTAAATTAAAATTGTTTATTATGGTGTTATAGTTCTTTTCGTATATATTCAAAACTATGAAAGTCATTTTATAATAGGAAATTCAAAAAGTGGGGCTAATGATCCAAAATATATAATTAGGTGCGGTCCAAATTCAATACTCGAAAGGTCCGGATTCGGACCGCAGTCCGCCAGTTGAGTAGCCCTGCCCCAGGGCAGGGGTCGGGAACATTTTTGGTGAAGAAAGCCATAAAAGGTACATATTTTCAATTGCATTTCCATGCGAGCCATATAGAATTTCTTCAATTAATCAGGCCTGAAATATTTACTCAAAAGTCAATACATACAATGTCAATATGTGTTTGATATGACTTCGGATGCTGCATGTTGTCGCTACAGGACTTGAACGGCTGCTCATATACAGGACAAGTTGAAATCTACGATACCCATGTCATCACCCTTCTTTTTGTTTAGGCATTTCGTAGTTGTAGTATTTGAAAACTAGCTTTGCTAGTCCGATCTAAATATGACAAATAAGACTTTATCGATTTGTGATGTCACAATATATGTTACAGAATCCCCCAGTTTTGTCACAATGCCTGTCTGGTTATTCTCTTACATACGCTGGGCTCGTGTTCTCAAAACGTATTGGCAAATTTTCCGCCATATTTGGCTATGAAAGAGTTTGAAATCTCGTCATAATAGTAAGCTTAGCCTGAGAATATTAGATTTTTTTGGGAGCCATATGCCATCACCAAAAGAGCCATATATGGCTCGCGAGCCATGGGTTTCCGACCCCTGCCATAGGGGTTTTTCCCAACACTAGTTAACTGTCACTTGTCACACATTACTTGTTGGTGTATAAATAGCAATTGACTTCGAAATGGGTAAGTGCTTTTTTTCATCTCCATGGTGAAATCTTTATTGGTTTCTGACTTCTAAATAACTGTTGAAGTATGAACATCCTTATCCATTGGTTTCCAGCAACCATTAGTTTTTTCCTAATTCACCTGGGGTTTTACCTTCAACATTTCATAGCTGTTAATATTGCAACAATCACAAGTAATAGACAATTGTTTAGGTTTTATTTATGGCTCATGTCATCATGGGAAAATCAAATGATCAAAATCTATTTTGTTTGTTGTGTTCTACTTTCTGTATTTATCTCGAGCTAACTTTTGTTTACAACGGTATTATAAAAAAAAATCACGAGGAAGTTTATGGACCATTAAAAGGTATCGAATTAGCTACAGGCTGACAGGCCAACTCGTGATAATAAAATCAAATGCATTGATCATTTGGAATTATAGTTGTTTTTCAAATTGTGAAAATATTTCGGCACAGTTTGTAGTATATTCTATTGAATTGACTGGGTTATAGTATTACCTAGTTATTTTTTTTTCAATATTTTCAACGGAAGTATATCTATAAAACTATAGTCGTAATTTCAGCAGACACAAGTGAGCAGGATGAAGCACTTTGGTGGGCCAATCCAGCCCGCGTGCTGTAAATGGCCTAAGATTAACAGAATCAAAGAACAGACCATAAAATTAGTGGCCTGCCAATGACTGGGTAGTGATTCATAAAAAATAAAGGGTTAGCCCCAGGTAAAATTTGTTGGTTTATAATGTCATATGTAATTATCTATTTATAAACATGATGTGTCTCTAGTATATATACAAGTGTCATATCGGTCATTAATCATTTTGATTGTTGAGTCTACTTACTGAGAATATAATTGAAATTGCCTTGCCAGGTAATTAGACTTAGAGCGTTAGACGAGGTTTATATCCACTAATTTACACAGAGTAAATGAATTCCTGAAATAATTAATTCTTGATTTTAAGAATAATTTGGGTCTGATGGTTCAAGACTTGGGTCCAAATTCCACACGCTCCACCTTACACAATGTTCAATATACATTAAGTATCTTACCAACTAGCTAAAGGAGAAATAAATTTGCTTTTGTTCAGAGCAGGGATCTTCAGCTTTTAACACAGGAAGGACAGATAGAAATAAATGAGTGTTAGGGCATTGTAAAGTCATAGGCATAGATAAGATGATAAATTGGACTCAGGTATAGGCTTCGGAACACAAAGGGGTTTGAATTACTCGCATGTACCAAATAAAATTAAAAACTCGTTTCGTGGGCCGCATTTCATTCATAATTGGCACTTCTCAGCAGGCTGCAAAAGTCTTTCTTGAAGACCGCAGGTTGCACACCCCTGAATTAGAGCCTGGACCGCAGCGAATGTGCAAAAAATTAATTTGGATCTATTATCTCTATATTTCAGACTTTTAAATAAAACTTTTATCTGGTATCGTATTATCTGACAATTGTTGTCAGTCGCTTGCTTGGTGTCATGGCTTCATATCAAGATGAATCATATCGGATTTACGAAGTTGTCAAAGCTGTAAAAAGAAGCGAATGGCCGCAATTTGCAAAAATGAGACTGGGATTAGCAGAAGTTGAGATTGAAGAATGTGAATACAATTATCATATGCAAGGAATGATTGAACAGAGATATCAGATGGTCCTGACATGGCAAAGAAAAAAAGGAAGAATCGCTACAGTCGAACTTCTTGAACAACTTTTAGAAAATCGAGGTGAAAGACCTCAACTAGGGGCTCCTCGGCCACAGGAAGTCCGACTAGCGCAAAGGCAAGATTCTCCATTAACGTCCCCATCAGGGGATGCCCCATTAATTGCCTCAGGAGATGCTCCATCATTTTCCAATTCAAGAAGTGAACAAAGTGCGAATGTGTCATTCAGGAGTGCCACAGAATTTCAAAATTCTGCGTCGAATGTTACGTCTGGTGACACTAAACAGATGCCACAGAAGGGAAACGTAAATAATGGAGATTATAAATATAATGAAACAGTTCCAAAGAAAGCATTTACAGGGGAAAGTGCAGCAGTGCCCTTGCCAACTAAACTATCACTTCAGATGGAAGGCCAAACTGGAGTCCAAGATACTGAAAGAAGAATGTCATCAGGATCTAATAATTCAAGTCTTCATGGAAGAGCAAGCACTGTTGCTGGAGATGGAAAAAAATCTGGAAGTTTCAGGAAAAAAGCAAAAAATGCATTCAAAGAATTCTTTGGGTCGCCTGGCTCGAAAAAGAAGATTACTGAAGCACCCCGTGTGGAAACCCCTTCATTGGAAGACATTGAAGACCTGTGTGGACTTGTGAAAAAAATTGAAGTGATTCCTTGTTATGGAAATGATTATGAGAAAAGTCTCACAGATGAGGGGATCTACAGCATCACTAAACCAAAGGGCTTAGCTTTGATTTTAAACAACACTTTTAAAGGCACCAAAAAAGAGCGAAAAGGGGCTGAAATAGATGTGCAAAACATGACAACTCTCTGGAAGAAATTTGGATGCGAATTGTATGGAAATAAAACGTTCCCCAAACCCTGGAAAAGTGACAAAACTGGAAAACAAATGAGGGATTTGCTTCGTGAAGTGAGTGAAATCAAGACAAAGTATAGCTTCATTGTGATCGTGATCATGACGCACGGGGGAATTGACAATGGAAAACTGTTTTTTAAAGGCAGTGATCATGAAAGTGTGGAAGTTAAAGAAATCGAGAAAATGTTCTTCAACACCAAAAATGGAAACTTGCACAACATTCCAAAGTTCTTCATTTTTCAATTTTGCCGGGGAACAATAAAGGACAGAGGTACTATTGCAGCAGATAATGAAAGAATAGAAACTGGTATGCAAAGCTTTGGAAAAGTCAGTGTTCAAACAGATGGCGCTGAAAGAATACCAACGTCATCTGATATTGTTGTTGCATATGCTACACATGAAGAACAGACGGCTCTTCGAGATATCTATGAGGGTTCCTGGTTTATTAATGCAATAACGAATGTCTTCATGCGCCAAGCAGCGAAGAACCATGTCGCTGACATGCTGACAATTGTAAATCGAGCAATGAAAGGAAAAACAGCACTGTACAGTGAAACAGATAGCAACGGTGATGTCACTGATTCTTACGAAGTGAAAGCAATGAGTGAGCAAAGAACGAGCTTATCACAGCATTTCTATCTTTTTTCAGGATTTCCAAAGTAACTCAACGTGTTGTCTAGGCCAGTGGTTCTTCAACTTTCATGGCCCATTTCAAAAATACTCAACTGCTCTGTGCCCCCTTGTTCTCCAATAGAAAAACATACTTAGTTTTATTTTTAATGGATTGGTCATGGCAAATGGTACCTAGGTGACCTTTGCTTGTGGCCCCCTGATTCTAAGATTCTCAACACGCTGTGGCCCCTCGTTCTTCAAGAACGAAACATAGTTTTGTTTTCAACATGTTCCCGATCGGCAAATATAATCTTGTCGAATTGTTCATGATGAGACCTTTATTCTCCACCTTCAAGTAGACGGCTTCGTCGCCCCCCCAAGTGTGTAAGGAAGGGCTTAGTTTCAAAAACACTGGTCTAGATGTTCCAGGATTCGCAATATGCGAGGTGGCTTCAATTATTCGTGTTTAAACTGTTTTTTGACCACATAGACTCCAACAGCTTCGAGTCTTACTGAAAGTGAAATCTACTGACACCTAGTGGCCACCATATTTCTATTTGGTTTACCGTCCATGCATCTAGAGCAAATGAATGGCCAACTACTCCCATACCTGACATGGACTCAGAACCGACAACAGACTTGACGCACGATTAAGCCATCTAATCGACTTTCCTCTCAGCTTGGTTAAATATGGAAATCTGTTCTCTGCATCTCAGTGATGCTATCAGCTCCACTCAAATGGGTTCATAGGATTTCAGAGTGAGACTCAGTGATTCCCATTACATTTTTCATCAAATATCGGAATGATCTTCCATTTTATGTTTCGATATTATACATGAAACTTTGTAAATACATTTTTCAACCAAATAAATTAATTATTTTATATGAAATGCCTTTTTTGTGTTACGTTCTTCCTTAATTATATTCACATATTAATCCATGGTGCCCTTTCTTTGTTTATTTATGGTGCCACTGCCAAATATTTGTGACTGTATTAACTGTAAAAAAATTGACTTTTTTTTTAATTATTTTAGTTGCTTTAACAAAATTGAACTAGATGTTAGCTTGCTTTTTTTTCGTTGCCTGATTTATGTATCTGTATCTCATACATGTGCAACATCCTGAGTGCTACAGCAGGTATTTGAAAAAAATGCCATGATTCTATAAACAAACAGGCACCTATTATGTGTATGTCGCAAAAAGAGATAAGTCTTTTTAGTTACGTGCCCTTTTCTCATTTTGCTCCTTCCATTTAGCAGCCCATTGTGACCAGTTGTTTGTTTTTTTGTTCTTAGATGCTACTTCTCGTGATTTATTAGCATTGCATATAATTGCTGAAGCATTTTAAATAGTTTAAAAAAGTATGTAGATTCGTGTGATTGTGTTTTAATTTTGAATTATTTTTTGCTTTTTTATTTTTTCGTATCGATTTAGTTTATTATTCTGTGATCAATTTTTTTTCTCGCATCATTATTTTAATACTCTTTTATCATAATTTCCACTTTGTTAAATTATTCAAAATTTATGAACGGGTATTCATGAGAAAAAAAGTTAAATCTGGGTGGTCCGAACCTTGGCATGCGGTCCACATAAATAATAAAAACGCCACTGATGTAACATAGCAATAAGCTGATTAGAACGGTAACTTCTCACTTTTTAATACATTTAAAGTAATGAAACTTGCAGTATTCTGATCACTTTGAAAAAAATGCCAGGGTTTTATATACAAACAGGCACCACCTGTCCAGTGCACAATTTGGTTTCTGAGAGACTAACTACCTTCTATGCTTTTGTGTCGGCGGATCCATATGCATATAATGCAAGGATGCTATAGCAAGAGAACATGACCCTTGAATCACTCTATTAACTGTATGTCACAAAAAAAGATGAGTCCTTTTAGTTACAAAGCGCCCTTTTTCTTTTTACTCCTTCTATTTAGCAGCCTATCGACTGAGTTTATTTAGCTTTTTTGTTCTTAGATGCTATTTCTCATGATTTATTAGCATTATATTATAGCTGAATCATGTTAAATAGTTTGTAAATTTTTTTAATTTGCGTAATCGTTTTGAATTTTGTATTATTTTTTGCTTTGTATTTTTTCTGTATCGATTTAGCTCATTATTCTGTGATCAAGTTTTCACCCGCATTATTATTCTAATATTCTTTTCCTACGATTTCCACTTTGTTAAATTTACCTCCGTCCTGCCGTTTCTATTCAAAAATTTTAGCGATGTTCATGAACAAAATTTGAAATTCCTTTCATGGAGTTTCTACTTACAACATAGATAGATAATGATTTATTTCCGATACAAGTACATAATACAATAAGCATGAGCAAATAACAATAAGCATAAAAATGTATACGGAGCGATGGACAAGCAGGCACGGCACAACATTGTCTTCTGTTTGTTGTATCAACATCTGAGTGGTCCAAACTCTGGCATGTATGCCGCCCCGCTCTTATGCCAAATAAAGTCACCGATACAACATAACAATAGGCTGATCAGAATGGTAACTTCTCACTTTTTATTACATATAAAGTAATGAAATTGCAGTATTCTGATCACTTTTGAGTTTCTCCGACTGCAGCCCGCAAGGCTGTCTCAAATTTTTTTTCTCTGGTCCAATCTCTCATTCTTGGACCACCCTGATTTATATCATATTTTATTACAACTGTATCGTACTACTTTATTCCATAAAAATCAAAAAAAAAAAATTACTGAATACCTTTTGAGAGTAGTGTACATTTATTTAGTGGAGTAGTAGAATACAATTAGGGCTTCCCAAACTGAGGGTCGCGACCCTGCAGAGGAGACGCGCAACAAACTGTGAATATTAATTCGGGGATTGTCTGTGTTAGCCAAGTGAATACACAACTTGATGTAAAGTGGGCAAACAAAATTTCTGGTACATCTGGAGAACTCTGATTAGACCTTTGATTCGAAACACAAGTATTAAAAACATAAATCTTCCATTTTCTATAGAAATACAAGGATCAAAGAAGCGGTGCACTTGTATAGGAATGTGACTTTGATTGTGAGATTCGAGAAGCGGCGCGCTTGTTTAGCATTTCAATGTGAACAGGGGTCATGGAAAATTTTAACATATTGGAAGGGGTTGTGAGCCCAAAAATTTAGGAAGCTCTGATCTATAGTATATATTATAGATTAACAATTATATAGTAAGTGTTTATAAATAACCGTTACAATTTCAGAAGCTAGTTTTTATTATATAAATAAATGGTGTGCTGTGTCCCCGCCTAAAACAATTAAAAATTTTGCCCGATTTCATAGTAATAACAATTGTAAGGATAAATGAGAACTACTGTGAGAACTATAACTTTCCTGATAATGGCTATAATAAAGAGCAGGGGTGGGATCAGGGCCAAAAAATGTGCCCGCCCACATGTAAGTATGACGTAAAGAGTTACAGAAGCAACAGTGAAAAACAATAAACCTCGTGCCAAAACTAAATTTAACCGGAATTTCAACAAATTCCTTGATCTATTTTCAACTTAAACATCAAAAATATTTACATTCATTTATGTATGTATGTTTATTTGCCTCAAAAATGTAAGAGTATCAGAATAATAATTAAACAGTAAAACAGAGATGGAATACATGTTCAAGACCTTGCTAGATTAATAGTGGAAATATACAAATAAAACTCTAGTATAATACACAAGAAAGAGAGTTAACGACGATATGTATAATAGTAAATTTAGGTTCCCATTTGAAAATTATGGCCATAGTTTATAAATGGCCATTTTTTTACAAAAATCCCTTTTTTCAGGAAAACTTGCTAAAAAATCGAAGTTTGCTTGGACCACGATACCAAATGATTGAGTAACAAATAAGTCAAAAGTTAGTAAATGAAATAAGTAGAAAACCTTTGTTTAAAAATAAGTTGTTGATCGAACATTGAATGAAACAAAAGAAGGAATAATGAATAAATAGGAGCATAAAAAGAGGGGTGATTTATTGTCACCATGTTTCAGATAACTAAAGGCATTTGGAGAATCATTTTGAGCGGAGTTCCTAGTTTTATATTTTCACAATCAATCATTATTTATACCGAAATTTTACTCAGTTTGGGACCAGACTCAGTACATGAAGAATAGATGAGGTGGGAGGTTGTGCACCATTATTTATATCCTTATTCTTGATAACAGAGCTTACGGACATTTAGCAGCATTTTAAAGTCATTAATCTGATACTATTAATAGTGAATTTGCCGATACTAATAAATCAATACTATGTTTAAGATCAATAGTATATTTAAGGAAAATTGAACTTGAAGACAATATAGAATATAGATGATTGTCAAATTGACTGCGCCTGTGTATAGCTGATTATACGATTCATTTAACCTTTCGCGACCCCTCGTCAACTGCAACAAGCCCACATTCGTTTTTGTTATTTGTGACATGTATTTTATTTATTATTTCATATCCGCATTTTATTTTTTTTTTTGCATGGCGAAAATGAATATCTGTATCTCGTTCTTATACATGACAGGCGATGAATATCTTGATTTAAGTTTAAAGTTATGATCTCGTAAACATAGTTAACTGAAAGTAAACTATGATTTACACTTCCTTGTGAGCGCCAACTTGCGAATACACCACCAAATACATTGCAACGGTAAAATGTCAATGAGGCGTTACACCTCACCTCAGTGTAAAATGTAGGATAATCTTCCTGGGGTCAAAGGTCGAAAACTTCCATCCTACTAAAAATACCCAAAACCATTAACTTGCCATAACATTTTTATATCAGTCATCCAAACAACATTTTTCCTTCGATAAAATTGAACTCTGCAAGTTTGACATGGTGATGATGACAATAATGTGCAAAGCCTAGTTGTGAGAGGTCGTTTTTTTTGGACCGCATATTTCTCGCCCATTTCCCATTTTAGCAAGGTCTGTTTTTGTGAGTAAATATATAATTAATAATTAGTTACAAAAAGTTTTTAATTTTGAAAGACTCGTTTATCGTAAATCACTTTCCGAAATTAGTGATTATGACGTCAAAGGTTAAAGGTTGTAGGGAAAGTACCGTACGAGCTTAACGGAGGGGGGGGGGGGAGGACTAGGCCGGTGGCTTTGCGCTTCAGCTGGCCAATCAATCAATTATTGGTAAAATATAAGATTTACATAATCATCCATAGGGAAAGAAAGCCGATAAAATGGTTAATCGTATGTCACACCACAGCCTCTCGTCTGGTTACCAAGGGTACCGGTACCGTTATGAGATAGTTACGGTAGCCAGTTATTTTTTCCGGAAGCATGGACTTGATGGTGTGGTGCTAAGCGTCGTTAGGAATACGACACATTCGACATGGACTGGTAGTCGGACAACGGCTGTACCGGTATAATAGTTTGCCTTATGATTAAGCCGTATTTTGGCAGTTTTCTCCTCCCGTAAGCCGTATTATCGGATTTCCTCTCCTCCGGGATAAATATGTACCATCTGCTACGGAGAGAAGAAAGATTAAACAATTTGACATATAGCACAGTTCATAGATTTCAAGAATATCCCACACGATAAGACATCAATTATAACAAACTTTGCACCTTTTTTTTTTATATCTGTCCACTACTTTGACTAACTATCAACACTCACTCAATCATGATTGGTATCTTGAGACTCCGTAAATAGGTTTGTTTGTATTGACAATGCGTTTGCTGAGACAAGTTCAAATTCTGTTTTTCCAGTTTCACACTTTTTTAATATTGTTGCGGACCCCCGGCACAGTTATCACGGACCCCCTGGGGTCCGCCGAGCCCAGTTTGGAAAACCGTGATATAGATGAGTCGAGTTATTTTAAGAAGATTCAACAAAACTGCCATGCTAGGGAATGCCGAGCCAAAAAGATCGATCACAATCTTTTCATATTGTTGCGAACCCCCATGACAGTTATCAATCTTATGACTCGAGGTTTGGGGATTTAGGAGGTGTGGCTCATTGTGCTAAGCATTAGGAATATGCTGCCACCACACCTCTGATTACTCTGCGTGGGTTCGCTGGCTCGAATCCCATGCAGGGATGGTTATCTGCGAGAGGATTGCTGGACTTCTCGCAGCCGATTGGTGGTTCACGTATGCGCTTTACGTTACGTCTTCCTTCACCATCAAGTCCATGCTTCCGAAAACAAATAATTAACTAATCCCATACCCCAAACCTAACAGGGGTGTTTAAATATATTGTGGCTGCTTTTTGAAATGAAAGCATGAAGTTGTAGAAAATGGTAATTCAGCCTGCAGCTGCCAATTTCAGTCCAAACTCAAATATTTCCCCTGATTTTCATGTCATAGGACAGGTATTTCTTAATTATTCCAGAGTCAGGAAAGTCTATAAGGCAGCGTAATCATGTGTGAATCATACCATTTCAGTTATCAGCCCACATACGGTATGGGAATAGATAACTAGATATAAGCTATAATCACAAAGTCGGGGTCTCCTGAAATACACGCTGCAAGTACTTCTAATTGGCCTGACTCGACAATTTTTGCATATGTCATTCCTAACCCCCACTTGAATATGTCATCCGAAGTCGCATTGATGTAATACCGCCCTCTGAAGGATGGTCGCCCGAACAATCATTCCAAATCGTCCTTTAAGTCCTGTAAGCACACACAGGGTAATCAGTGCTTTCTAGCACAATACACGCCGACCACAGAACCTTTATCATTAGGTGGTTCACGTAACTGCTGGTAAATTACGGATTCTTCTACCATCAAGTCCATGGGTCTGAAAACTCCCGGCTAACTAATCCCATACCTGACATGTATTGATAACCAGATGGGAGGCGCGAGGTTCACCATACGATGAAGCCATCTTATTGACTCTCCCCTCAGGATAAATATGTTTATCCTATTATGATTTCCTGCCCTTCACGCCCGATTTCTGTTCCAAACACTCCAAATTCCATACAAAGTTTCTATTCTACGTTGCATACAAAATAATATGAATAGTTTTGTGTATAGAGAGTTTGATTTCCTATAATTTGAAAAGTGTAATACAGTTCATGATTCTAACAAAATACAGTATATCATAGTTTCTTCTGGTGGAAAATTAAAATTTTGCAATATGATAAACCTGATATTCCATATACCAGCAATAAAAATATAATAGAAAAAAGAAAGCAATATACAAAGTGTACTGCACTTGAACTTTTATGAGTTGCTAACTACTTGGTAATTC